ACTCCCCTTAATTCTATCCAAAAGGTTAGGGCAGATATAATAAAAGCAGTAGTGGACATGGAAAGCGGTGCATACTTTCTACCAGCTGCGGCCTCGAAAATCGATGCTGACAATACTGTGAGTTACGTTCCGGGCTCACTGCAGCAAAATAACCCCCCAGCATTCCGTAATACGGCACCGGTGGGAATATGCGTTTAATGGGTTGGATATATCGAAGAAAAGACAAAAATACTTTTTTAAGTAGAGCATATAAAAGCAGGAAATAAAAGGGATAATTATGTAAGCGACCTAACGTTTGGCACTCGCGATAATTAAAATGAGAAACACAGCCAACCGGAAACAAGAGCTGCCCAATAGTACCGACGAATTAGAGAAAATCGTGCGCACTAAGGGTAAGCGTAGTGAGCCCAAAACCAGATTGTTACCCGTTGGTGTTTTTCTAGGTGAGTGTTCTGGGCTTTAAAGGGCAGCGTGTTAGTGCACACAGCGGGCCATGCAACTAAGTGTCCTTCTGGTCAGCGTTTCAACCCCACCTATGTCAGATTTACCGTCCGAGCTTGTTGAAAGCTGGAGTTTGCAAAAGTCCGAATCCCGAGCTTGGATCATAAATCATATTGTGCTCACCAGAATTTGTCAGTTTGTTCGCTAACGCTTCGGATAGCTGGACCGGCTGTCCTTTGTCAAGGCGTGAACTGATCTTATCGATCAGAAATTCAAATTTGTGGCTACACGGAGGGCCAAGCAGCGAACGTAGAAAAATCGATCAGCCCATGGCCAACACGATCAGACACAACTTTGAATTGCTGATCGATAAAGTAAATTCACGCTTTGACAAAGGACAGCCGGCCCAGCTGTCCGACACGTCAGCAAACAAACAAACAGATTCCGGTGAACACAAAATGATCTATGATTATTGAAAATCTTTGGGAAATCCGCATTAGAAACTGGGAATGCAACATAAAATGTAACACTAAGGTACACCACTTAAAGACTCCTTGTCACTGGTGCGAGAAGGTGAAAGTACTAGCAGTAGCCGATCAAGTCTCGAAGCAGACAAGGCATTTCAAACCCGAGGCGCACTCGTGAGAAAAAAAATGGTGCAATGGCCGTTTTCGTTTCTAACTTTCTAATTTCCTCAGAAACCTGAGGTAAATTAGTCCGCAACATGCTTTACGGGCGCGCAGAGCGAAAGTTGATATGAATGTTTGCGCCAAAGTCCGTCACAGTTGGATAACCGGGCTATATTCAATTAACACTAGTTGATGAGCGTTCATCGGCCGCTAACGAAACTCACTTGTCCCGGT